AGAGAGAGAGAGAGAGAGAGAGAGAGAGAGAGTTACAAACTGCTTTTCTAATCCATCTAGACACGATTACACGATAATAGAGTATGTACAATCGAACTTGTCCAAGGCAATCTCGAGCCGAAAAGTGGTCCTCTTAGACAGGTGGTCCTATTAGATCTATAGTGTCATATTTTTTCATCGCGAAGGGGTGGGTGGGGTGGGAGTAAGGAGAGAGGGTGCCAGCTGATTGTCTCGGCCATTAGAGCAGGTTCTTATGTATTTCCTCTCGGCCTATGGTCGTGATGGCGAAAATATAACGTTCCCACCCTTAAATTGACCTTAATGTCGTAACACTTTTGTTATGCGCATAGAGAAGCAAACCTACAGAAAAAATGGTCATTTGGTGCACGGAAAAAGCAAGACAGACAAATGGAAACAACACAGGGACAGAAAAGAAGTAGGGCCCCATCCAATCGCCACCTGCTTGCAATGTGTTAAGTACGGCGTTCAACTACTTTGTTTGTTTGTTTGAGTAAAGAGAAGCACATCGACACAATAATGATAATTTTGTGCTGGGAAAAAGCAAGACAGACAGACAGACAGACAGAGAGAAACAACAGAGTGAAAGTAAAAAAGAATGACCTGCCAGGGGCGCCCTCAAACCACCCGCGTGTTTAACAGCTTGGACAACAACAACAACAACAACAATATCTGTTATCTCCCTTTCATCTGTGATAGGGGTGCCCACACTGGAAACGCGTCCGTACCTGACCTTGACAAGCGTGCAGTGGGGCTGAACCCGCAGGACCTTCTGCAAAACGCTCAACTCTTTAGTTTTGTTTTAGTAGAGTTTTAAGGCGCTCGCAACTAAGGTCACATGAGCGCCAGAAGATTAGAGATGTTACAAGAGAGTAACAAACATAAAAAAAGAAGAAGGGGAGATTAGGACGATAGATGTTTCATTGGAAAAAAGAAGCAAACCACTCTAGAGCACCCGCCAACCACCCACAATCAGGTCATATAGGTGCCGAAGATTATAAGCGAAGTGTTACTACTTAACTCTTTAGTTTAGTTTTGGTACGAGTTTTACGGCACTTGTAACACAAATTTTACTACGTCATATAAGTTCTGAAGAATAGAAGCGTTACTGGAGAGTAACATATTCATACAAGAAACAAGAAGTAGGGGAATACAAGAAACAAGTAGACACATAAGTTCAAGAACTTGGGGAGGAATCGAAAAAGTGCCAGCCACACCGCAGTCTAACATCACTTTAACAGAGAAAACAGGTTTCTCCAGCCAAAGCAACAGATGACTCGCAAGAAGTTTTTTTTCCAGTTCTTTTTTT